TTTAAAATTAGATTTTTGCTCTACTTACGTGATATATGTTCACCATCTTCATGAGGAAACAGCCTTCCCTCCTGCGTCATCTATGGTAATGTGGCCTTCGTATGGTACTGCCAAAAACATTCCGAAATGCAGAGTCCAACGTCGCAGCTCACGCACTTCGTACAAACGCTAGACTGCTTCCCACACGAAGAGCACACACGACACCTCAGTTGCGATTAAGAGGAAGCAGGCCAGTGATGTTGAGCTGCAGTGATATTTATTCCCGCAGATACACCGGAATAATTATTCACACCTCTCCAGTCACACTGGTCTGGCGGTCCCCAAGTTGCTGACGAAGGTGATGACCCTTCGTCCGCGGAATCAGAACTCCAACTTTCCTCGTCCCTCTCAGAATCGGTTCAATAGCAGTCCGAATCTGTGTCATTGAACAGCTGTTTCTCAATTTCAGCATCTTCCATATGACGTCGTCGTGTGGACATGGTGAACTATAACGCTCTCTAGCAGTGAATCTCTGTGCTTAGACCATGATAAGAAGCCATAAATCTTAACCTCAAGCCCACACATACAAAAATCTCATTCACAACTTGGCTGAACCCAATATCTGCTTCATGATATCATGGGTGGCTAACCTTATATTGCGATGTTTCAAAATCTTTACAAACACAATGGTTTGACTGCAATGAATGAACGAATGACCGATCTGGCAACACCATATTCCGAGAATTAACTCCCGTATCTTTCTAAAACATTACACAGCGAGCGATATCAGACGCATACAGTCGTGCATACCGAAATGTCCCATACAATAAATAAGCATCAACAAGAGACATCATTGAATGTGAAGTCGCCATAAGGACTTACACTGCTAAAACGCATGGTGCAGAAAATGTATTACACTGCTAGAAAGCATGGTGCAGAAAAGGTATGAATTTCGGGATTTTTTTTTTTGGGAATCAGTGTAAAAATTTTTTACAGATATTAAAATCTGTAAATTAGAATATCTGACTCTATATTCTTTCTACATTAAAGGAGCGTTCATTTCGTTCGTTTATCATAAAAAATGTAGAAATCACACCATTTTTAGAAACATGCTTACAATTTCATTGCACAAGAAGGGCGAGCATTTAAATAAACTCTGTCCAGCTGCCCCTACCGGAAATTAAATGGCCCGTCCGATAAAGGTTAACTGATGATTATGCACCCTCGTTCATACAGTATGTGGCGTGTAACATGATCACTTCACACCATGTGCAGAAAACCATGTTTAAATGAAGTGTATTTTCTGGTAAATAATGGTATTCATTATGCACCTTCAATTACCTAACTGCATCACACATAACATGAAGCACAAAATACAATGGGTGCATTACAGGTAGAAAAATATTTTTCATGGCCAATTTCCATTCAAATTGTGCAGAAACAGCTGATTTATTTACGTCCATCAAACAAGTACCATTCACTGTCCTTTGCACTTAAAATTAATTACTTACATATTGGACTGCATAAGAACTTTGCTTCTCAGTATTCTTTAACATTCAAGTGAAGCTTACGTCAGCAGTGACTTGGTAAAAGCCACTGGCAGATGTAGAAAATCGCAGAGATAAATGTATGCTATCGATAGTCTGTTCTCCAAAATCATAATCTTCAAAATTCTGAAAAGAGACAAAACCAGAATGTGTAAAGAGTGTAAAGATGAGTAATGGAGAATTATGAAATAAATAAAACAGACAACCAAAAACAAAAAACTGCCAATAATGCAAAAATTACAAATGATATGGACAGGGACAACAAAGGACGGAAGATGGCATATACTAGAGGGTAAATGCAGCTGAGATGAGATATTTTAAGAGTACAGGAGAGAAAACTAGAAAAGGAAATAAGAAACGAAAAAAAATTAGATGGAATTTAAAAACAAATACACCGGAACATAAAGTTATAAGTAACCAAATAAGATGGTGTGGACATGAATGGAGACAGAATCCTGAAGGTTTTGAACATGAAACTATAATAAAAATGCCCAAGAGGAGGGTCAAGATCAAAATGGGAACAACAGGTTAGGAAAGATGTTGCACAGAGGAAAGAAAAACATGGGAGCAGATCTGGGAAGACGAAGGAAGATGGAGAGGTTCGGTTTGTAGACGTCTTACATAAAGCAGAAACATATTGTAACGTGTTTTCCCACTGAAGACGCTGTTCGGATTTTTAATTGGTTTATTTAACAACCTACAAGTCTTGGCTACAAATAATTATAACACTGTTATGGGTTTACACAATTTACAAACCCTACACACAAATCTCTTCACACTGTCAGTAGTCTACACGTATTCACAGTACGATACGGGAGCTATACCGGTGACACACACTCCCAATTGCTTCTCTTGTGAGCCAAGCATCTGCTTCTCAGGCTATCACTTCTAATCACACGTTCCGGTATTCTTCTTTCCGCTACAACTGAACTCGGCGGCTGTTCCATCCACACTGTGTCACTCCTGCTCACACACTGACTGACTGACTGACTGGTGACTCCCAGGCCAACTCGTAACTAACTGTTGAATAGTGCTCGCTGCTCCTTATTTAGCACCGTTATGGACAAGACAGAAAACAGTTACATGATAGGTACAGCTGTTGTCTGATGCCGTGTTTGCCGATAGCCTAGCAACATTGTCGGGAGTTGTTTATGGCTACGTAGCAACTGTGGCATCCTGTGTTACATCACCGTGGCAATGGTTGCTTGGCTCAGCCGCTCCTCTGCCACGTCACCATGGGGAAAGGGGTGTCTACCGAGCGTTGCACACTGATGGATGGAGTGAGGGTATGTGACATCACTCGTGAGATCACAGAGTTCACGCGACCCCCAGCTCCTGCTATGCCATCCATGTCACAATATTAAGGAAGAAAAAATAATTCAGTTTCTTTTCAATAAGTTTTTTAATACAATTTCTAAATCAGCAGGTTTATACTCTGTCCAAAATGTGCACCATAATCATATAACTCTTCCTCAGTTTGTCTGTCAACCATTACATGACTCAGAATGCATGTGATACCAGCCAAAGGATGGTCCTACCCTGAATGTCATTGATCAATATATTGTTAACACGAAATCGTTTCACTCCTGCAGTTAGGGGAACAGAAACTACTTACTTGCGCACAAAAGCCACTCCTTAACACAGTAATGTGCATGTTTCTATGTCAAATTTCAGCAGACTCCAAATGATATGGCAATGAGACTGTGATGATTACTGCCTTCTGCAATGTGCTGGTACATTCTGGAGGAACATCTGGCTCAATCTTCTTTCCTGAAGATGGAAGCAGTAGGTTCTTCTGAAAACACTGGTAACAATCTACTGGGCTAAATGCTGGCCCCCCCCCCCCCAGGAGACAGTAATCTTCACCTTCACTACGGTGAGAACCCAAAAATGGACAATGCGTTTTCTGTCTTCCACTAGTGATCTTCATAGAGAGATATTATTTTTGTAAGATTTGAGGTTTTCACGACGGTGACTATGAACAAAAGCAGTCTTCTGGGATGTGGCACCACATATACAGGGTGCTAAATCCCAGAAGACTGCTTTTGTTCAGATATTATTTGTGTTTGCTTCTTTCTTTTTTATTTAAAGACATTTTCAGTATCTCAGACTATAGAGCATTAAATGGTATGGCAATCTGTGACTAATGAATGTGAAAGCATGTGGAAGGAAAGGAAGTGGTTGTGGCCTAATCTGAGGCACCACTCCAGAATGTGCCTGAATGGAATGACAAACACAACAGAAACACCTGTTATACAATATTCACAACTTCAAAGCCAAGATTTCCCAAACAGGAAGAAGTGGTACCTGCTTGACTGTCACATTCCATGACTGCTACTGTTCCTGTATGTGGAACGAAAAAATAAGACCATACAGGACGAGAAGTCAACAAACCTCACACAAGTGATGGCGTACGGCTACATATGAGAGAAGTAGAAATGTGGTGGGGGTACATCTCACAATTCCCACATAATTCTCTCCACACAAAGCCAGGCAGCAGACTTCCTGACTCATCTCGCTCAGTCACATTTGATCAGATGTGCTCCAGCCAAAAGAATGGCACAGTGCTTCTGAGTGCATGTCATCACTTGCTGTGTGACATACATTCACCAGTTAATTTGTTACTTTTCTTCATTCATTTAAGTCATGCTCTGTACATAAAGGTGCATGACACAAATATCCAGTATCTGAGGTGTTCACAGTGAACATTCATATTGCATTCTTCTGGGTTATGACACTGTGCAGTCTGGAATAATGGTACCAACGTCCTGAAGACACATAGCACCTCACTTCTACCCTGAAGATGGAAGCACCACCTTCTTCCAAAATATAAATAACTCTAAAAAACTACACGAGACCACATTCTAAACATGGTGTTTTCACAGTCATCGCTGTCAGAAACTCAAACCTCGCTTTGAGTCAGAAATTTGTACTTTATGATTATTACGTTTCCAGACATTATACATAATCCTGCCTTTATTTAAAACACACCATTTCAGAGACTGGATTCTGTCTGTCTTCAGGTAAAATCTTACTCAGTTTGGCCCAATGTGTAAAGCTAGTCCCTATTTCTGAATTCCCGGACCATCATCCAGGGATAGGGACCAGCTCCATGAATTGGGCCCAACTGAGAAGGTTCCACCTGAAGACGGAGACACAATTCAGTCTTTGAAATGTTCTGTTTTAAATAAAAACAGAACGATGGATAACGTCCAAAAACACAATATCAATATTAATAATATACTATCATCACAAATTTGCAGATCTTATTTATGCTAAATTTTCTCATGTCAAGAACATTTCCAAAACACTGATCAGGTACAGTTGTCTCACAGAAGAGTACCAAATAAATAATATCTCCTTTTCTCACCACTATTTACAGCCAAGCTCTCTTTTGATGTGACTGCTGAATACAGTCTAAACATTTATAACTCCTCAGAAATGGAAACAGATTCAATTCATAGGATGGAAATCACCCCACGCTTTGCAATCATCAATGATTAAGGAATTATTATGGATATTCTAAAAGTCTTGTGGGTGCCCAAAAACCATTCCAAGAGCAACAGAGTGCCTGAAGGCACACAGCTTCCAATCTGTGCTCTGTCTGTGCCAACATAGTTTGAAAGATACAAACCTTAAGGATGTTTGTAGCATCAAATGTCTCTCGATGTTTCTGCTTCCTTCTTGACATTTCAGATTCAGCGTCATCACTGCGGAAAAGCGTGTTCATGAGTGTCACATGGAGTTTTACTCTTTCATATCGTTTCTCCATAAGACCTAATAGAAAGAAAATCCACAAAGGCCACAATTACTGCGCAGAATGTCTGAACATTCTTACTCTAACCAGCTAAGAGCCAAGTAAAAGATGAAGTCCAAGCATGAGATAATGTGCTGCCTGGTCAGGGCCATGGGTCACCTCAAGGGGCAGCAACAGATGAATATGGAGCACTGGTAGAAGATTAGTTAGCAGGGGAAAACCAAAAACACACAGAGAAAAACCTGCTCCAGTACCACTGTACATCACGAACTTCACATGACACAACCTGCGATTAAACAGAAAGCTCCATGTTCAGGATAAGCAGTCTCTGAAAGCTAAACCCGCAGCCTCCAAGATATGAGGTAGGAGTGCTGTACACTAGATTGCAATGCCAGGCAGCTCAGTTTCAATAGTGATATTCAAAACATGGCAACTGAATTATTATTATTATTCTTATTTTCTTTTCCTTTCTTTGGAGGGGAGGAATAATACAGAGATGACGGTAGGTCCATTGGCTCAGACAGCTTCACGCCATGTGGAAATGAGCCAGAATTACAAGCTTCTAGGTGACACTGTGTGTTCATTAATATTCAAACTGCAATATGACAATTCATTTTGTCTCATCACCATTTGACCCCAAATTATGGCTAGAAATACTGCACTACAGGGTGAGTTCTTGGCTCATACAATATGTGGCTATACAGTATCTGTACTGTTGGTCAGCAATGTTAATAGCCGATTTGTGTCTAAATTTATGAGCATCAAGATGAACGAGGATGGCAAACAGCAGAATCCTTCTCCTTGAGGTTTATTTTAATGATTCTGTCAGCAGCCAGGCTATATAGCATCAAATTCTAGGAGAAATGAATGGGGAAGGATGTGGAAGGAAGCAGTTGTGGGATGAGGTACTACCATGAAAAAACTTAGTCAAGATTGCAGATGTCCTGGCCAAGATTGAAACCAAGCACCCACTGAATTGAGCCTACAGTGTTACCAATATGCCAGTCCACTCAGCTGATTTAATTATCTCAAAAATCGTTTTTCTTGGAGAAGATTTTTGGGCACAAAGTGTGTGTTTTGTTTTTCTCTACAACTTCTGTTCAAAATGTGCTTCACTCCCATAAATGTTTCGGGAGTAGCCCCTGAGAAATGGGCAGAAATGCATGTGGTTCCATTACTGTTGTCCAAATTTAATAAATATTTCAATTGTAAGATTTTAGGTTTTCACGGCAGTGACTATGAAGAAAGCCATCTTCTGGGATGTTGCGCTGTGTAGAAATTTTGTTAACTGACGTTTCGGAGGAACTTATCGCCTCCATCTTCTGGGTAGAAGACAAGAAGAAATCCACAGGCGAACCAGCGGAGCAGGTGCAACAGACTGAACCCAGTCAAGTAAACACAGCTGTATGCACACCAGTGCATTCATTTCACAATGAAACAGAAATTGAGAGCCACCTCCCCTTCCTGGATATAGATATTTACAGGAGACCCGACGTTTCTCTGGGCCATACAAACCTCTACCTCAAAGTTGCGTCCCGCCACCACCCTTCCAACAAGCAAGCTGTACTTTTCACATTGGTGCACAGGGCTAGAGCTCTATGCAATCAAGAAAACCTACATGCAGAGTTGGTATTCCTGGGGGATGTTTTCAGGCAGAATGGATACAACAACCAGCTGATCCACAGAGTTCTCAACTGTCGGCCCTAAGATAAACCGGACTTAGTCGCCTTCTTGCCTTATGTCGGGACTATATTCAACCGTATTAGCAGAGTGCTGTCCCGTCACAACATCAAATCAGCTGGCCTGCCTCCAAAGAAATTATCTAGTTTCCTCCAAAACGTCAGTTAACAAAATTTCTACATGGCACCACATCCCAGAAGATGGCTTTCTTCAATATTACAATTTGTTGACAAATTTTGGTTAATTCCCCAGTATTAAATATCACAAAAATCCATGTAGAACCTCTTTGAGTTGTTCCATACAGACAGATAGAGAGATGGCCAAAGGAACTTCAATATGCGCTCTGCAGGGTTGTGAAGTGCCTAAAGTGGCATATGTAAATGCAGAGTAATAAAGTAATGAAGCAAGAGCACAAACCTTTAGAACAAAAGTGATCAATGACCCCATCGGCCACCTCCTGCAGCATGCGAGACCCGTCCTTAACATGCACTTTCCCATACAGAACGTCCACTTCAGCTGGATCATCATTCATGTATTCAACACCAGCCATACAAACCACAAGTGCTCTGTTCTTCAATAGTGGCCTGTAAAACATTATGTTGTTACAGAATCAAAGGACACATGACACTGTGTAAAAGCTAACAATGCCAAGTGACGTCTTAATTTACTGAAGCGCACCCCACTGTCCCTCATATGTTCAGACTTACACTAAGCCACAAGGATGGAAAGGCATGTCCTAGTCACCTGTGATTTAACAGCTGGTTTCAAATGACACCAAGGTTGGCAGGGATAGCTGAATATAAGCTACAGAAGATAGATAACACGTTAGTACCTGCCAACAAAATAGGTACAAAACTAATACAGAAGTGAATGGAAAGCATAAGGATAGTACTGTTTGATGTAATGAGAGAGAAAGATTAACAAGTGCCACAGGTTGTCACCATCACCATCACTGTGGAACCCTTTGAGATGTTACTGCCACCAAGAGATAACACCCTGGTACATTCATGGTGCTGCACAACAAAATGCCTGTTACCAAGTGGCCTGCACAGTCCAGGGCACACCTAGCACTGAAAGCTGTTGGATCATGGCCCAAAGAGCCTGGACCTGCTACCCTATGAGTCCCACATGTTCTGCCGCATCAAGAAAGAGCTAAAGGACAGCATATTTAGGTCAGATGGTGACATCAAGACCACAGTGGCACAGTGGTTCCAGCAGCACCCAGAGGATTCACTGGATGGCATGTCAGTGATCATGGCATGACCACTACTGTCAATGGCTTCCACTCCTCTGCTCAGAATAATCCCTGAATGGGTCTTTGTTGGACGAGCCTTATACAATCACAGCTGTGTCTCTTTTCCTGACTTGCATGTCTTGATAAGTGCCATCAATGAATCAAGATGTTCATAATTTCCTACCAAATGTAATAATCTTTCACCAAAGAAACATCACAGCAAAAAAATAATGAGAATGTTATGACTTACGTGATGATGCTCTCCTTGCACTCTGCCAAGGTCCGTGCAGCCTTCTCTCGATCATTTGTGTCCATAATCACCAATGTACCAAGAGTCAGATGCAATTTCTCTGGTACTTGAAAAATAGATGCATCAATACCATGACTGTTCTTACAGATGTCAAGGACTTCTTCCTGAAAATTAATTCATTCATCAGTAATCTGTCAAGACAACAGGTCCACAGTCTCTTCCAAAACAGTTCTTCCACTTAATGCGATCTAGAGCTTTCTCCTTCAAATGAGAAAATCCTCTTGTCCCCAAGGTCATCCAGCATCTTCTTACGTCTTCTGGTCACTTCTATCGGCCCCCTTATCTTTCCTTCAATAACTTCTTTTAGAAGGCAGTTACTGCGTAAGATATGACCAATCCAATTAGCCTTCCGTTTTCTTATTTCGTGTAGGATAGTCCTCTGCTCACTGACTCTGAATAACACTTCTTCATTTCTCACATAATCGGTCCAACTGATCTTCTCCACCCTTCTCCAACACCACATTTCGAAGCTTTCTGGGTGTTTCTGATCTGCTGCCCTAAGTGTCCAAGTTTCAGCCCCATACAGAGCTATGCTCCAAATGTAGCATTTCACTAGTTTNTTCTCCAGTTGTTTATTGTGACTGGGGTTGGTTGTCTCGAAATTTAAATTACTTTTGTTTTTTTTCCACATTCATTTCCATGCCATAGCACCTCCCAATTTAGATTAGTCTATCAATCATACCCTGTAGCACAGTTTCTTCCTTAGCCATTAACACAAGGTCATCTGCATATTTCACAGTTTGAATAATTTGCTCTCCTAATTTGAAGTCTCCAAGCCCATCCAGAGCTTCCTTGGTAAAGCATTCGCTGTACAAGTTGGTGATAAACAGCATCCTTGTCAAGCTCCTCTTCCACTCTTCACACTTCTTGTCTCCCCTCTGTCCAGTCGCACTCTAACTTTCTGATCCATGTACAATTTACTAATCAATCTCCTTTCACGCCAATCGATATCTGTTTCCTTTATGATCTGCATTAATTTTGTCAAATTTACACGGTCAAATGCCTTCTGCCAGTCTATAAAGCAAGCACACAGTTCTTCGTCTATCTATGGGCTAGGTAAGGAAATATTATCAAACCAATTAGTGTCTCACATACTTTCATGGTTGGAAAGAGCCAATGCAAAACCTATAATTCTTGAATGGCATGACAAGGAAATACAAATGAATGTTCACCCCAAAACCAAACCTCTACCAACCCAATTGCCAACACGTCTAATTTCTAAACGCAATAGAAAAATACCAACATCCAGAAATGATGATTTTTTATGGAACACCCAAATGTGTACACATTAAACCATAGTGAACCTAATTTTAAGGAGAACAGGAAACATATAAAGCAATCACTGCCCCTTAAAACTGGTAATGAAGATCTAGTCATTTATCAACAAAACATTAGAGGACTTAATATAAATAAGCTCGACGAATTATTTATCTCTTCATCTCTGGATTCCTCTCATACTGTTTGCTTGACCAAGCATCATCTTCGTGATACTGCTATTGACACTATTTTGATGACGGGTTTCAAACTTGGGGCTAGTTTTTGTAGGAGCACCTTTAAGAATGGTGGTGCATGTATTTTTGTACATGAAACTATCTATTCTACTACCATAAATATGGATAAATACTGTAAAGAAAAGGACTCAGAAGTATGTGCAGTTAGGTTACACCTCTCTGCTCATGAAATATGTGTTATTACCATCTATAGAGCTCCTTCTGGTAACTTTCAGCATTTTTTTCAAAACCCTGACAAACTTTTAAATATGATTTTTGCACACACCAAAGATATAATAATATGTGGTGACTTCAACATCAACTATCTCGAAGATTCTCCCCACAAACAGCAGCTAAACTCATTACTAGCCTCTCATGGACTATATAGTATAATCCAATTTCCTACTAGATTCCAAAATAATTCTTATTCTTTAATTGAAAATATTTTCATTAATACATATACGTTTACTAATTTTACTGTATATCCCATCATAAATGGTCTTTCTGATCATGATGCCCAGAACCTAATAATACACAATATATTTAAAACAAAAACCTAAAACTAGTTACTACTATATACGAGAAATAAACGATGTTTCAATTACTAATTTTAATAACAAATTAAGTTATGAGTTATGTGAAGATGTAATTAATGAAAAAGATATAAATATCGCCTTTAACTTTTTCCTGAATGTATACTTAACAATATTTCACTCTAGTTTTCCCTTAAAAAAAGTTCATACCCGCTCTGCCAGTAAATCCTGGCTAATGCCTGGAATCAGGATTTCATGTATAAACAAAAAAAAAAAGCCTTATTTAGCTCAAAGAAATAGTAATGACATAAATTTAATTAAGTTTTATAAGAATTACTGTAAAATTTTAATTTGTTATCAAACTTGCAAAAAAAAACATAACAATAATATTATAACTCGTTCAAATAATAAAATTGCAACTGTGTGCAATATTGTAAAGAGTACTTCGAACATAAAACCTAATGTACCCAACATAAGTACTAGAAGGGTAAACAGTAATTTATCCTCAGATTCTCAGATTATTGCTGCGGAATTCAATAAATATTTTGTATCAGTTGTTCAAAATAATCGCTCAGCTAATGTCACTTCCAACCAAGAAAATCCTATATCTTATCTATCTAGGTCACGTAATCAACCTTTTCTCCCTATTACATTAAATTGTGTATCGTCAAAGGAAATAGAAGATATTATAAAATCCTCGAAAACAAAAAATTCATATGGATATGATGGGATATCCACTAGAATTTTAAAAGTTAGCAGTCCCTATATTTCTTCTCCTCTAACTTATTTATGTAATATAATGCTAACAACTGGCAATTTTCCACTAAGATTAAAGTTCCCTGAAATAAGGCCCATATATAAAAAAGGTGATAAAAATGACACATCGAACTACAGACCTATTTCACTGCTCACATCAATTTCTAAGATCTTTGAAATGGTAATCTATAACAGAATGCAACAACATATCAATAATAATAATATTCTTGCTAATGAACAGTTTGAATTTAGACATGCACGATCAACAGATGATGCAGCTTACTATCTTATTAATAATATGCTAACTGCTTTAAATAAAAAAGAAATTGTGGGCGGTGTTTTTTGTGATCTTCACAAGGCCTTTGATTGTGTCAACTATGATATCCTGCTTTCAAAGTTGAATCATTAAGGGATTAAGGGAAGGGCTAATGATGTAATTAGATCCTATTTATCAGATAGATACCAGAGAGTAATAGTTGTTTCTGACTCAATTAAATTCTACTCTAAATGGGAGCCTGTTACTGCTCGAGTCCCTCAAGGATCCATACTTGGTCCCTTGCTTTTCCTTTTATATATCAATGATTTGCCTAATCCCATATTTGGCCAGTAGGGACAGTAATGATCCAAGACTAAAGTCACTACAAAATGTACTGCAAAATTTTGTCAAAAGTCATTAAAGAAGCCAAACAGAATAACTATAACAGCCAAATTCTAAAATCAAACAATAAAATTAAAACCACCTGGGATATTGTGAAAGTTGAATCAGGAAAGAAATCTGTTAATGAAGACGTACAAAGTTTGAATATTGAAGGGAAGTCAACTAACAATCCACAAGCT